CATTAGCACTACGATCAGGCAGGTTGCATCCCTCTTCTGTTCCACTGCTCCTCTCTCTAAAGTTGTGGGGGTCAGTGTGCTCCTGATATGTGTGCATTGCTGTTGAATGCAAGTTCAATTCTAACAAGTGAGTGACCACCTGTGGTGTTATTCTGGATGAAGTAATACCTGATTATCAGTGAGGCCTGATTTTGGCATATTTGGTACACTGGAATTCTAAGGAAGCTTCACTCAATAGAGAAATCTAAGAACATGGCAGTAAAAGCAAGGCAGTGAGTTGCTTCCTCCTTCTTTTGGCCCTGCTTATTCTCAATTCTGATTTCTGCTGCTTTTGTTTTTTTGGTGTAAACTAAGCTTAGTTCTGTATTTAGTACAGTATCTAAAGAGCCTTGAATGTGTTGTATTTCCCAAATGCTAGCTCCATCTGCTTGAACTAACTAAATGACTGGGGCTTTGTGGCTTATCGTATGATGAAAACTGATTTTCTGAACTGGCACTGCTGCAAAAGGCTTTCAACTTTGAGCAGTGTACCACAACCTGTTTTTCAGTTCTGTATGCATCTCCATTCAGCATCCCTGGCAATGGAGGGGTGAGCTTCTGGTTCATATCTTGACCCTGTGTGTGTTTTGTGATGGAAAGTGCTGCTAGGAAGTACTGGCCTCTGCAGCACATCAGAACAGAGCACTTTGCGTGATCATGTGGTAACTAAGCAACTACTCTGTTAGTTTTAGTCCATCTGGGATCACCGTGCATGTGCTGATGCTTCTTTAGGGATGGCTGTTTCTGCATGAAGTTTGTTAATGTGTTTTGTGTGTAAGTACTACCAGACTAAAGTTGGGATGTGGGGGAGTCAATGGAAGGTTGGGGAAAAGGTTATTTGGGAAACATTCTAATGTTTATGGGTTCTCTATAATAGCTTCTCCAACCCAAGCAAGCTTTGTCCAAATATTTAGCACACTATGAAAACCAAAGTATTGCAGAATATCCCCCTACCATAAATAAATAAATAAATAAAATTATTGTGGCACTTTAAAGACAAATTCATCAATGCACACTTTGTTTATTGTTTTTTTAAGAAAGCAATTTTTTTTTTTTTTGAGGGAGGAATTCGGATTTTAGTGGAAATTAACTAAGCATTGCTAGTGAATCTCTGAGACTGATATTTTAGGTTGTCTAGACACATTCGGGCTAGAAATCTAGAAGCAGTTATGAAAAATGTGCTGAGTGTTTTGTTTTTATTTAACATCTAATTATTTTGTTACATACTTTGTCTTTGCTGCTTCTGGGAATTAATTGCAGTAGGGGCTCCAGCTGCATCAGCAAATTCCTGTTGCTGTCTGCAGGGTATGATACTTTTTTACCCTTTTCTATATTAATTAGAACTCACTGTTGTACAATTTGTCAATTATCTGCTGCTTTATGTAAAAATGCAGTTTCTGTTCCCCAGTTAAAGTGATAAGTTTTTCAGTTACAAGATAAAATTCTGTTAGCAGTTAAATGCTTCCAGAGAACCATTTTGGGTAATTGATTGACTTTTTTGTGGTGTTGGGGATATGTAGTCCTTTATTAGCCTTATTGGTTTGGAGCAACAAGTATAAAATAAGTAAAATAGCTGCACATAGACATTCCCTCCATGCACTGACTTTTCTTGCAGATCTAGTTTATTCATTGTATTTTGGCCTCTATTATAAGCATTTATTGTATCTAGGAGCAAGTTTTTTCCAGATGTTTCTCTTGCATTGAGGATAAATTAGTTTTACCATAAATATTTTACAAGTATTTCCTTCAGGAGAAGAACTGAAATTAGTGAAAGTATCTGTCTGCAGTTTGCACTGTCCTGTCCTAGGATGTTTAGGATTTAGAGCATCCTTCTCCAGTCTGCTGCTATCCAGATATACTGGGAACGATGATCAGGGCATGGTGATGTGAGTTGTGGCCCAAGTCATCTGGAACACATCAGATTGAAGAAGACTGATTTAAAGGGATCTGACACTTGAATAAACACTAATAAGAAGAGGCTGGTAGTCAGTCTGTACTGTGAAACTTGCTGTTACAGAAGGTGGTGTATATTACCCCTTTCGAAGAAACTAAAATCATTGCTGCTTTAGCCTATCATGTTTCCAGCTGGTTTAGAGGCATCTCCACTGCAGATAGACTAGAAGGAAATGGAAGGCCCTCTAGAAATCTGAAAGAGTAACTACAAATTAATGTGACCTGCCATGCATGCTGAAATTGGGAGTTCTGCAGAGAAGCAAAATTGGACTATCTAATTGGACAACTTTTTTTCCAAGTTATTACTAAAAACTAACACTAATCATCTATTTCCTCTGTGTGCAGTTCATCCGTCCCTAGAGTTATAATCATTTCCTTGCTGTGGGGTGTTTATTTTTATTCTTGCTACTAAACCTGTAAGAGAGGTCAGGGAGTAAAGGGCTGATATCATGGTGAATGACAGGATGCATGTTACCTTGGAGGCTCTTGATCTGCTTGTAAGTGCAAGTCCCTTGTTAGAGCAAGCGAGAAAAGTTTGCCTTATAAGCATCATAATTTCTAATAATTGCAACCCTCCCTTTTTATCAAATATTCCAGACTATTACTCTTACCAGACATTCTGAGCATTTAGGCTATAGCCCCTTCTTAAACATTGATGTACAAGGGACGTGGCTGAAGCCTATGCCATAGTGCAGCTTGCCTAATATCAGACCCCTTCAGCGTTCCCTCCCTCAATGATTTCTATTTATATTACAAAACCCCATACTATTTTTTCTGGAATTATGTCCTAATGATAACAAAAGACATTCTCACATGACTTTGTGGAGACTTCCTTCAACTGGGTGCTCCCAGTTTGCACTTCTGAATTGAGAAGTTCAGTTTTCTCAAGTTAGGCAAATATCAAGTCATGATTTGCCTTTCAGGGTATTTATTTCACATCTCAATGTACCTGAGATAGAATTACAAAACTCTGTGATGGCCATCTGCCCCAACCAAAATCTGGTATGTACTCAGGTGAACAAATCTGATCGCAAAACTAGCTTTGCGCATATAAGTGGAAGACTTTAAATGCTCACAAGTGGCTTAATGAGACTTAACTTTCTTATATTCATTTAAAATGCGTTGCATTTGTATCTCTTGCACTGAGTGAAAATTTTGCAGAGAACAGCATGACCTATTGTGCCATGTGTTAGAGACACCTCTAAAATTCCTACCATCCCACTAGACAGAATCAGTTGAACTGTAACTAACTGCTTGATTGACAGCTTGTATTTGCTCCACAGCCACTGCAATCTGATGCTCACTTAATATTTATTTACTTGTTTGATTTATATCCTGCCTTTTTCTTACAAAGAACTCAAAGCAGTATACATAATTTTCTTTCTCTTGCTCTTACCACAACAACCCTGTAAGGTAGTTTAGGCTGGGGTGTGTGACTGGCCGAAAGTCATCCAGTTGGCTCCATGGCTGAACAGGAACTAGAACACAGATTGCCTGGGTTCACATCCCAGTCCAGTTAACCACTACACCACACCGGCTCTCTTAACTTTTCTGTTGCAAATTAACAGTTGCATCTAGAGCCCTATCACTACCTCTAGTTGATGGGGATGACATTTCATCTGCTGCTAGAGGAGGGAGAGAACAAACTTTCCTGTGCCGTAGTAGGAGACTGACTGACACAGGTCACATGCTGCACACTGTAAGCTGCAGCTGCCCAGAAATGGTATCAGGGACTTTTATTGATCCCTTGGGAATACGCAGCCATTTAAATAAAGAAAACATAAATACAAATAACTGAATGTAAATATGTTACATCTATATATATTTGTATGTTTGTATGTATGTATGTATGTCAGAACTTGTTTATATGAGCTCTTACATTTTCAGCATCTTTTGGGCTCAAACTTCATGGGAACTTTTCAGTTTGGCAAGTAAAAAGAAGCTTAATATATGAGAATCAAATTTAGGAGACAGTTCTGCACAGAGTTTCCTACCTCTTCCCTTTCAGGCACACTGGAATCTCTCTAGGTGGCAAGTTTTGATTCATGGAAGCTATGGTGATAGCCCTCTATTTTACTGTCTAGTGAAGGCTATAGTATTCCATTATCCTTAGTCCCAGTGGATAGTTTTATTCCAGAATGAATTATTCCTCCTCCTAGGTCTACTCTCTGGGCTTGAAGTGTATGCTCTCATTCACTTATTATTCCCATCACAGCCTCAGCAGATATGCAAGAAAATGGCCAATTGCATTTGTAGGTAGCTGTAATTGCTGGAGATTTTTTCTCCTTGCCAGTAAACCTGACAAACTGAATTAAGGAAGGAGTCTGTTTGCAGAGGAGGCAGCATGCTCTAGCAGCAGCAGGAGTGCTGACAAACTATTTAGCAGTGACCTTACAGCACATCAACATTTATTAATTTCCCCATACCTTGCTGTTCTCTGTTCTGTGGCACATGGGTTGCACCTGCAGAGAGCATCTGCTAGGTGCTAGGCAGCACATTCTAAAATATCTACTTGAATGTCCTCTTGAAATTTCTCACAAGAAGATGGAAGCCTGCATATATCTGTGTAGATTTTTGGTAGATGTATCAACATTTGTTGTTGTACAGTCAGAGAAAGGCATGGCAAGAAACAGGGTTCTTTTCACATGTCAGAGTGCTTCTCTATTTTTCAGGCCTTTGGAACTTCCTGATGGACATTTTTTCAGTCACACATTCTTAAATCTTGGGCTTTGTGAGACAATAAGGCAGTAGGCCTATGAATCTTTCCTAAGGGCAAAGGGTTATAAGGCTTGACTTTTCTTGCATGCTCAAAATAAGCTTGTTCCATGGATTATATTCAGCATTTCTTTCCACATGAACCACTATCTGGGACTGAGAGGTAGGGAATTGAATAAGTGATGGTATATCTATAAAAATCCATCTGGAGATCATGGGTATCTTGGATTTCTTTAAGTCTGGCCCTTTTAGGGTTAATTAACTTTTTTTCCCATTTTGTATTTGTGATTCAGGTTTTAGAAGTGGTACGCTCCAACTACGACACTCTTACCCTAAAGTTGCAGGATGGACTAGACCAGTATGAACGTTATTCAGAGCAACACAAAGAAGCTGCTTTCTTTAAAGAATTGGTGAGTTTCTGCTCTGTTATATATATTTCAAAGCAACAGCACAGCCAGAACTGCCCTTGGTTCCACCTAATATAGGACTGGTGGGAATGCAGAAGCACATGCATTAGTATACTTTTCATGAGGTAAATTTCCAGCTGGATGCTAAGCAGACATCATTAGGAATGGAAAGGTTTTATTTCCACTTATCTTGGGGTTCCTTGAACTCTTTTTTGCAGCATCCTTCCTGAAGTTGGTTGGAATTACATTGTTGAGACTTTTTGTTACATGCCCATGCAGCCTTTACTGAAAGTCAGATAAATCTCATGCTGACAGCACCTGCTAGTAGTTTATCAGACACAGCACGTTTCAGCAGTTCCAGTGGTAGAACAGAAATAAGGGTTTTTCTTTCACATGGGTTTGCTGTGGGATTTGGAATGCTAGGTACATCCCATTCCCACAAAATGCCTGTGCCTGGAGCAGATCTTCCACTCTATCCCAACAGCAGCCTTCTGACAATTTTCTTCCAATGATCTGTTAGTTCCTTCCCCTGCTGTGCTGTCTTTGCCTGGTAATCCCCTTATTGCAAATATTGGAGCAATGGACAATTGCTCCTAGAAATGCTTTCCTTTTTCATTTCATATGTATCTCAGCAGAGAAATAGTGGAGCACAAAGTTCAATCTTTAGTAGTGCAGGAACAGCCTGTTTGTTTGTTTTTGGTTACCTGTACAGGTAAAGCATTCTTTCCCCCTGTATTATGCCCATGGCTCCTTTAGTTTATAAGTAATGTCTACTGTTTCAGGCCACTGCCTCAGAATTCCTCCTACCCCCCAGTCACTGTTGGCATTTTTTCTATGTCCTGCAATTCACTAGTTGAAGAACTTTGTATTTCCCATGATTAAAATGTGGACTTGCCTTTTCTAATTTGCTGAGATTATATTTTCTTTCTAGAGTCCATCCTCTTAAGTGCTAGTAATTTAGATCACTGTCATTGAGTATACTAAACATCATTGCCAGTAGCCTTTCATCCCTCATTTATTTATGAGAAATGCCCATATGGACCTTTTCCCAGTTGGATGAATACCAGAAGCTTTGTTCATTATTTTTAATCTGGTGATTAAACAAATGCAACCAGTTAATCCGTATTTCTTTACAGACTTAATGAGCCTCCTCCAAAGCAATCCCTCATTGAGAGCTATAACAAATTTATAATGTGTCCCCTAAGTTCGCCATCAAAGCAGAGTGGGGAATGAATCAAGTTGACCTTGTTTGGTGCTTTGTTGACAAAACCCCCTCAGTTTTCCTTTCACAGTCACATTTTTCTTTTAGGTTCAGAAAACCATGCCCCCTCCCCAGGGGACACTGGGCTACAATATTTTGTCAGAGAAGATGCTCAGATCAAAAACAGCACATATTGCATTTCTAAGACACCCAATAGTTAAAGCTTTCTGGGCAGCTTACAATAGTAAATAAATAGTAAATACAATAAAATACCATAAATCTTTCCAAAATACAAACATTTAAAAATTACACTAAAATTAAAACCAGCCACAACCACATACAATAAAAAGTAACCCTTTATAACACCTGAAATGGGTAATCCCTTCATACCCTTAACATGACAAGGTTGGCACCAGGCGGGCTGTCATGGGAAGATCATTCCAAAAATAGGAGGACCACTGCTGAGAAAGCCCTCCCCTTATGTTGCCAGCCTTAGAGGAAGGCTCTTGCTATTGAGCATTACATTGGGTGATTGAGGTTGGGATAGGTGCTCTGACACGTATTGTGGTCCCAGAAGGTCCCAGTTAATAATCTAGCTGCCACATTTTGCACAAGCTGCAGCTTCTCGACAGTTTTCAAGGGAGGAACCTGCACAGAATGCATTGTAGTAATCTAATTTAAAGATTACCAAATCATTGCTCACTCAAGCTAGGTTATCCCTGTCCAGATTGGGGCACAGCTGAACCACCAGCTGGAGCTGATGTAAAGCACTCTGTACCACTGAGGCCACCAGAGCCTCAAATGAAAAAGATAGCTCTGGCTGTGAACCTGCACCTTCAAAGGGAGTGCAATCCCACCCAGAACAGGCTGAACATCCTCCACCTAGTCAGAAAAACCATTAACAGTATCTCAGTCTGGTTTAGCACATCCATAGGCTTGCCTGATGAAGATGAAAAGGAGAAATAAAGCTTGCATTATAGCTTACTGATCACAACATACTCCAAGATTCTGGATGACCCCACTCAGTGGCTTCATGTAGAAGTTATATAGCATGGGAGGCAGAACAGACCCCTGAGGAACTCCATGCTGGAAAATCCACAAGGTTGTACAATATCCTCCAAGTGATCTTTTGGAGATGGCCCCCCAAATAGGAGTACTCAGTCAGTCATCTCAGAGGGATACTATGGTTGATGGTATCAAAAGCCACTGAGAGGTCCAAGAGTATCAACAGGATTATACTCCCTGACATAAGTCATCATAGAGAGTTAACAAAGCTTTGTCTTTGCCAAAATTCAGTTGAAATGGATCAGCTAATCAATCTTACCCAAGAGCACCTGGAGTTGGTTGGCAACCATTCACTCGAGCATCTTGCCCAGGAACGGAATATTTGCCACTGGCCTCAAGTTAGGAGAGAAGATCAGGAGAGAATTTCTTCAGGAGTGGTTTCACTGGTTCCTCTTTAAAGCTGCATTGGATTACTTCCTTTCACGAGGAGACATAAATCACCTCTCTGGCCTGGTGATTGCTCCCTTCTTGCTGGCTTTTATAAGCTAAGAGGAGCAGTATGGGAGTGGTTGCACAAACCTGTCCAAGAACCCTGTCAAAACTCTGAACTCTACAAACTGAAACTCATCCTAGAAATCAGTACCTGGCCATTCTCTGGGTACCTCACCTGATTCCACTGCTATAACTCTGGAATCTCAATTTTGGTGGATACAAGAGAGTTTTTCCTGGAAGTTCCCAGCAAATGTATTACAACAGCCTTCAGATTGGTCTCAGACCTCCTTAGGGCCAACATGTAAAAGGTTCCAGATGACCCTAAAAAGCTTTTCTGGGTGGCAAATAGATTGAATTGAGGCAGCAGGATGATGTTTCTTTGTCACTCTCACTGCCTCTAAATATGCCTGATAGGCATGTTTCAGGGCTTAATTGCATCCTCTAGGAGTTTTCTTCCAGGTGCACTCAAGCCATCTTCTTTTGTTGTTGTCAGCTTTAGGGTATACTGCAGAACCATACAAGCTCTGCAACACAGAAGGCATCACAAGCAATCCTATCACCCTGCCTGTCTCTGTGTTCCACATCTTGACCAGGGCTTCAGCAGTGGTGCTGGCTAGAGCAACTAGAATCTTCCCAGAACCATCTGGAAACTGTCCAGCTCCATTAGCTTCTGGGGATGGGCTATCTTAATAGGTCCGCCACCCTTGCAGAGAGGAAGAGCCACCATCAGTCTAAATAACAGCTGATGGCAATTTGACCATGGCAGTGGGACTAAATCAAAGTCCCCCACACTCAGAACCCCATCCTTATGTTTGGCTGACAAAAACAAGTCTAGAATGTGTTTTGCTGCATGCGTTGGGCTGACCATATTTTGGGGCAGTACCATAGTTGTAATGGAGCTTTGGACAAGATAGCATGAATGTGGAAAGTCTCCAGAAGCAACAGCCTGAGGGATCCCAACATCAAATTTGAAACCACCTCTATTAGCTCAGGTAGGGCGTCCGATGGGTGAACAAGTACTCTAGCAGGGTTTTCCACCTGTCCCACTGGCCCAACACAAGATGCAAACACTTCAGAATAGGGATTCAGAGTTGACAGAGTGCCTAGAGACAGATACTAAATTCTTACAAACAATGGTGTCCCCCACTCCTCCCCAGCACTTGTCTACTCAGATGCTGGGGCACTCAAGTACCCCATTGGGCACAAGTGGGAGAGACTAACTCCTACTCAGTTCTCAGACATACCAGATAAGCTGCCTCATTCACTATTTAATCCTGGATGATGATGTCTTTTGCTCCAATCTGGCATTTAAAAACAACATTTGGAAGCCTTAGGGCAGGCTGCCCATAAAATCTGCAGGTGCAGGACTGGAACATGGGTTTCTCTTGTATTGCTTGCCATTTATGCAGGTGCCTTTGCAAAGTAATAATGTAATAACGTGATGCAAAATCACCTTCCTTAGTCAATCTCCCAAAAGGAAGTCTGGAGCCTGCGTCATGTTCTGGACTGATCAAAACTTGTGGCAGAAGTTTAGAAATTGGATGTATTCACACAGTGGTAAAATTAGAGCAGCTGTTTGGGACTTGAAACCAAAGACCTGGTCTGGAATTGGAAGAGGTCAAACAACCATGCCAAGGCATGGAAATGGCCAGATAACAAGGTTGGCAGTGGAAAACTGTGAAAAACTCTTAATCTGGCCTTTTTCAGCCTGGTGCCTGCCAGAAGTTTTGAACTTCTGCTTCCAATGTTACTGACCATTGCCCAGTGCTTGCTTTGGCTAATGGGGGCTGAAAACTAAAACATCTGAAGGAGCACCAGGTTGAGGAAGGCATAACTAGATTATGTTCCTAATTTACTGAGGTTCAGTAACTTGTAATGCACCAATGCTATCAGGACAAATGGCAGCTTGTTCATAGAAACATAGAAACTGAGCAAGTCAGAAGGGGTCTCCCAGGCCATTTAGTATGACCCCTGGTTCCAGCCCACCCTGCTCATGACATGCCTACCATTTCCAAAGAGATGTAGGATTTTGCAGCAAAAAGGTCATTTTAACGTTGAACTTATTTTGTTCAGAATATGTATGCATCAGATTTCATGTAATAAATGGCTCATAAGACATGCTTGATTTAAAGACTTGGTTTCTTGAAGGGTTAGTTCTATAAGCAACTGTGTTGCATCAAAAGTTGGTCTTTAAAGGTCTCTTTCACTTCCAGAGATACAGGTTTGTGACGTTGGTAATTGTAGTGACTGTCGTCTCTCCCACAGGTTCGGTCTATAAGCATCAATGTGCGACGGAATCTGGCCTTCAATACCCTAAGCCAGGAGGCCCTGCTGAAAGAGTTTTCAACCATCTCCTGAAGCTGACTGATCTTTCTGCTTCCTGTCCAGCCCTGGTGTTATTACACCCCCATCCCCAGCACTGACTGTAGCTCCTGGTTGTGGAGTGGTCTAACCCTAGTGTGTGTGTGTGTCTTTTTTCCAGGGAAGATCAAGAAGAGATTTGGACTTGTCCCACATTTTTGGGCACAGAGAACTGATGATATGGACTATACTGGGGAATGGAAGTGGGCAAGAGGGATCTGTACTTATTGCTCTTTCTCACTTTCTCTGTGGCACAGGAATAAGAATTATTCCCCTGATGAGAAAAATTAGAGCAAAAAAAAAAAAGTTGATCAGAAAGCACATACTTTTAATTCAGTGGAAGCTATCTGGTGCTGGTCAGAGGCCTAACGAGAGAAAGTGGACAGGAGTAAAGCCCTTCATATGGAAAGACTGACTGTGCTCCTGTCCTGTGTACACTTGTGCTATAAACCCCAAGTCATCACTCTCACTTCGGTACTTTGAATCGGCTCTCCTTGTATTGTTAGCTCCATCTCACACTGGTATTGAAATTAATTTCTGAGGGCTATACACTTCCTTCTGTGTTAGTGCCTCCTTTTCTGAATGGTGCTTTCCGGAGTTTCTTGAGAGTTTTCCCAGTCCCATCCTAAAATACTTGGTCTCTGGCATTCCTTAAGCAAGAGGTTATCATTATGCTGTTGCTTCAGCCTTATTTTAAGGCTCTGGGGCTGAGAAGATTAACCTGAGTCAGGTTTATTGTTTTCCACAGGAGCAATAAGTGAGTGTCCTGTGCTTTTACTGCTCATGCAATTGCTTTGTACCAGAGTGAGTAATTTTCTCCTGATCCCAGAAGGTTGCCTGATCTTCTGCAATACTGTCCACTGACCTGATACTCTTGGATCTCTCTAGTGCTGAAAAATGCTCACATTCACATTATCAACATCCTGTCCCTCGAACACATACAGTCCTAAACCAAATTTCACATTGCTTGAGGAAGGAACTGCTTTTCTCTACTTGCTTCCCTGAACTCCAACTAAATGCTTTATTGAGAGGATAGAATTAGGGGATTAATTTTGCACAGCACTTTCAGCTGTAGACACTGGTGTGGTCAATACCCTGTCAAATTTCTATCACTCTTAGTGTAGAATTCATTTTTTTCTAACTCTTTTAAAGCAAAAATACAAGGTAAGTCACTTAATTGCTTTCCATTATGCATATAAGGACATTTTAATGTACAACTGTGCTGTTTTGGAAAACTCAAGATTTGGCTGTGCCTTTTGCACTGTACAGAGGGGAGATATCAGACTACAGACATGCTCTTAATCCTTACTAAAAGGGTTGTTAAAATTTGGCACTGTATCCCTTGGGGTTGGGAGAGAAGGTGTGTCCTACCTGCATATTCTCTTCTTGTTGCAGAACTACTTTCACTGGATGCAAACAGGTCTGAGTGAGGAGGAGCACCTTACTGGCATCTTTCCTCTCATGGGCTGATTTAGCAGATTAACATGGAAACAGACTTTGTTTCAGCGAGGCTTACCATTTTGTGACATTTCTTTGTTCCTTTTGGGACAGACATGAGAAACCCCCCTCTCTGTCTTGTCTCATACACTGATGAAATTCAGCTTTATCTAACAGTGAATGTTGAGGCCAGAAGTTCAAAGAAGTCTTTTTTCCAGAATAAATACTGTAAATGCCTTCTGCTAATAGAGCACCTATAGGGGATGTATATAAACCTCTGGTAGCATTCAGTAAAAAAGTGGAGGGGTGCACCTCTGATTGCCCTTTTGGTTGCAGTGTATCCTTTCATGGTCTGTTTTGGAGAAGTAATAAATTATTATTACTGTTAACATCTCTTTGGTGCTGACACTGTACTAGTTGCTGTACACAGTTCATAAGTGACATAGTCCTTCCCTCGGGGGGTTACTGTCTAAATCAAGCCTATAGGATGAGATGTGTGAGGTGAGGAGAAATTGGACTAAAAATGTGGGAGTCACAAGCTTAACACTTAGAATTGTTTTTTGTACAATGGAAGAATTAAGAACACTAACATGTTCAGTGTCAAACTTCATAGGTGCCTTCTTACTTCCACTCTCTTCCAGGGGGCTAGAGGAAAGTCATTTCATTTGGGATTGTGCCCATTCTTACTTGAACAGCATAGTCAATCTCTTGACTTTCCCAGAGGGAAGAGTTCATAGCTTCCATCCAAGTCCTATCCTTTGGGCTGACAGTAGGCTCTCCATAAGATTTCACTAGAGTCAGCAAACTTTTACTTTATTATTATTATTTCTAACCTTTTCCCTTTCCTACTTGGCACTTACAGTGCATCCTGTAGCTTATTCTGAACTTTCAGTGTAAACATTTTTTTGTGTTAGAATGGCTAAAAGTGATTGATGCTTATCTATATGGCTTTGGGTTTATCTTGCTCATTTGGTAGTATTTTGCGTTATAATGTAATTTTCCAACTGAGATTCTGTGAGCAGTTGTGTGAGTATTTTCTTTGCTTACATATTCCTTGGTAACACATGCTTCTGACAAGGTTGTTACAGAAAGATGCTACCTCTCCTATAGTCACATCTGGTTTTTACATGTCAGGCAATTCAAGGTGGCTTTCAGATGCCTCTCTTTCTGTTGCTGTTGCACACTCCACTTTTTCATAATAACACTCATTCCTTCACCTACTGTTGTACTATGGAAGTGCCTTGGACCCAAGTCTATAGTCAAACATAAAACTTTGGGGTTGAGTACTTTTTTTTTACTGTTTTTCATCCTATTTGAACATGAACCACAGCTGTTCTTCAAACAGACATTTTCCCCAGGAAGAAAAGCGGGGTGGTGAATTACATTGCGGCTGACAGAGCCTACTGAAAAGGATCCTATTAACATGTATCAGAGATATGCTAACATATCTAACATTGGTAGTTCTGGTGGCCTAGTAGGAACTCCCCTGTTCTGAACTACAAGTCTAGTCCTGATTGAGACAGTTGTAGCTTTTCATCTCTGTACAGTTCCTTTGTACATATGTTTCTCTACTTCTTTCCATTTGAGCCTGGGTTAGACCCTAGAGACAAGACATGTTTAGTACTAATGAGAAAAACAATGATGGGGCTTGTGGTTCATCATTTCCTTATATCTGTGTGGAACACATGAATGAATTTATTTTATAATGGTTAATTTATAGTTCCCTTCATTGTCAGTTTAGCTGCCTCTGTGATTCTGGAATTGCCAGGTCTTAAATAGAAGAGGAGACAAGTACGTTAACATACAATGACCTAATCCTGTCAGGGAGAGATTGGTTGGAGAGGAGCAAAAGAGGCTAGAGTTATTAAAACTTGGTGTTTTTCCCTGTTTGAAAATGTGCAGGCTTTTCTTCTGTGGTCTGAAGGGTTCCATTTTTCAAAATCTCTTTAAGAATAGAATAATGGAAAGATCCAGATGTTTCCACCCCAGCATCCTACACAGAGGCAAAATTCTGGCATCAAAGTACCTTTTAAGAAGATTTAAGGGACTTAAAAATTCATTCATGCATGAAAAAGTGTGTGCTTTTAATTTTTTTAATTTGTAATTCTGACAGCCAGACTCTTACAAAGCTTGTTTTAATCTGCAGTCTTGTGAATGTATTGACCAAAACATACTGAAACACCAGCACCACGCAGAGAGAGAAAAATTGCCTCCCCGCCTCCGCCTGCTGCTGCGCCTTGCAGGCCTCTGTTGCAGTGGCCATTTTTCTTTTGGGTATGGCTCTGGGAACCGAGCCCTGGGGGAAATCTCAATTTGCCAAACAGACATGAAAACACTGACTCTGAGTTAAATGTTGGATTAAAATATGACATCTGAAACTTTGCAACCTTCCTCATACTTACTGGCTTTTCATCAGCACTGTCCCTTGTAGTGTCCTTATTTGCTCAATAGAACCTAACTGGCAAAAATTAGAAATGGGAGTTGTGTTTCTGGAGGTTGTAAAGAGAGGACTCCTTGATCTCAAAATAAATATTTTAAACTGCACTAATGTGGGCATTTGTCTAGGGATGCACTGGTATCCTGCCGCTCTCCCATGAAGGGGCTGAGGTTTTGTAAGTATTCAGTCTGAATGCTTACACAGGCTTGAGTTTTTGGGGAGCATTTTATTTGCTCCATTACAAATAATTTGGTAGGCATTCACTGCCTTTATCCTTCCTCAAAGCCTAGGATTGTGCCTTGAGGCAGGGCAGAGAAAGTGATGGCATGTGCCCCCAAGGCCGTGTACAGTGCCTTTTTCTGATGAGGCTGGGATTGGCACTACCCTGTCAGAATCCCTGGCATGTATGCATAATTTTTGCTGGGTTTGAAGGAATGATGCACAAAACATTGGTTTCCAGTCATGCCTCCAGTGGGCAAACATTCTTGCCATCACTTTCCCCTACCACATGATACCTTACTGGACTTGGGGGCAGGAGACAGCAGAGGTGAGTTGAGGTGATCCAGAGGCCTTGCAAATAGCTAGTGCTTTTCTTAATCCTGCTCACAAGCATTGATCAGAAAGACACTACTCAAGTGCTTGCAGCATCCTGACATTTGTTGGATGGCTCTAAAACTTGGCCAGATTATACTACTTATCAACCACATTTCCCATGCCAGACTTCTCACTCATAGGGTCAATCATCTTGAATTTATAACAAATGTGATTTTCTGGCTTTATAATTTAAGGATGGGGAAAAACCAGTTACCTTATCTGCACAGCTGCTCTTTGGGCTGCCTAATCACGACAGAGTTACCACAGACAGAGCAAGAGGCCTAAATGTCCCTCCCCGTTGCTGGCTCTCTCAAAGACAAGAGATGCCTCAATCAAGTCATATACTGCATCTTGTAGATGAAGAAAAATTTCTGGGCTCATCAGCTAGTCTGGCATGGGAGAAAATTCTTTCTTCAGTGATTTCACAATTGGGCAGTCTTTACTTTCAGGAAATACCTCCTCTTTGTGGACAGACAAAACTTGCAGCAATAACATCATGAGGAGATTGGGATCCTCCTCAGCTACCAGGCTAGTCCTACTGTGACACAATCTGAATTTTGTTTTAGTGTAATATATTAAATAACACAATTCTTAGAAGTACAAGTATTTTTGATCTTCAAAGAGGACATGTCAAAGTCATATTTGCTAGATGCAAATGGCTGCCGTTGCAAACTTCATGCTGTTGGTGAGGAGGAAAAACACAGCCCAGAAATGTGAAAATGGCATAAAAACAAAAGGTATCCCAGCAGCATCCCTGGGATCATTGCCAGTAGCAACCAATCAGGGATAGTTTGGATAATAACGCCCGTGCTCCCAGCACAGCCCTTGTATCACTGTGCACACAATACCGAAGCCAGATCCACAGTGCCCCATTCTCACCAGACCCGGTGACTTGGGCAACAATGATCTGACAACTGCAAGTCCCTAAGCATCCCTCCAAGCAGGCACTTAAATCACCATATGCTCCTTATAAGCCCTGCTTTTGAACTCAACACACAAAGGGGAGAAAGGAAGGCCTACACAAAATGAGTACTTTCATCACCTTGCTCAGAAATTACCTCAGACAGTATCTCATCAGTGGATACAGAAAACTGCTTCTAAGTACAGTTGCTAAATTACCCAAAAGCTGTTACTGGTACATTTCCAAGAAATAGGTCTCTGTCTTTAACACCAAAAGATTGTGTTAGTATTCTTGACTTCAAGAAAAGTGTCCCGTAGGCACTCAGTACTCAGTTAATGGCACCTCCTAAGCATGGCAACATTCATCCATTTAAGCCTGAAGCTGCTCAGTCATTGCATGAGGAATTAAAGACTGTAGAGGGGGGTTTTTTTTATCATAGAGTGACAGGAATAGTGCCAAGATTTTGAAATCTGGCAATTGCTGATCCTTCAAAAGTGGTCTCTACAAATACTTCCACTATGAAAGATTTCCAGTTACATTTCCTTGCTTGTAAATTTATAAAAGTTCTTGTAATACTTATGGCACCCCCTTGCCCTTCCATAACTGCCGCTGTTTCAGTTTCAGTCTAGCTGAGAGATCTCTGTCTCTCATACAGAGATGTGAAATGCTGAATTTGTGAAAAAAATACTGTTGATTCTAGTATCCAAGATTAGGACACTGATGAGAACTTCCAGACTGTAGAGCAATATTGTAGAGCAAAACTGCTCACAGAGTTAGATAATGGGGAGTATTGGGGTATTATATTAATGTCTCGCCCTAACCAGACTCAGCACAGAGCTATTTGGCAGGGCTGGCACAAGACCACCTGCCACTGCCCTTGTTTCTCTCCTTCTCCCATCTCTGGCTGTGACAACAGTGACAGCATACCCCGTCCCCTCCTCCTCCATGCCCTCCTGAATACTGGCTTTTCTCTAACTATGTCAACCAAGTCTGTGGGCAATTATTTTTAGTTTGGGGGTGCATGGAATATACTGCCCTGATGCCAAGAACTGGCTGTTCCATTGCATAATGACCACAAGGGACTTCCAGCGCTATCTTCAGCTGTCTGGAATGTGCAATGCAGAGCAAGGGAGCAGCAGGTAAGAAGGCAAGTCCATTCCCTATTTAATGTAGCAAGCTGCTGTCTGCTGCTTTATGATGGTTAGCATTTTTATTTATTTAGAGCATTTCTATGCCGTTTGATTAGCATAATGCACTCAAAATGGTTTACAAAATGTAGTTAAAATATACAAAATACAACAGAACCATTTAAAATGAGACTAACCTGCCACAAATTATCTCTATACAATAAAATGTAGTAGGCATATACAACAACCATAGACAATAAACAATATACAACAACAATAAGCAATACAATGCAATACGTAATTATTCCACATGTACCAACAATTTAAAAGCCAACATAAAACCATTTCTTGTACAATCTTGTGTATAACCTTTCAGTAGCCTTCTGCTGAGGCATGGTATTCAGACTTCCTTCTACTCAGATAAAAACTTACCTAGCATTACGTCGTCATTAAGGATGTCCATTTCACATCCTTCAGGTCTTCACAGAGCACCAGTGCGGCACATGCATACTGCCACCAGAGGTAAGAGCACATGCACCGCTGCTGTGTTGCCCCTTCCCTTTTACTGCATCATATCCCTCTTCCCTTTATGTCATGCTCTTACCACCTTCCCTTTGCCACTTTCTGCCTTGTGCACTTATTTTTACTGCAGCAATCCAGTTGGCATGCCTTCACAGAAACTGGCCAGGCCAAAATGCCCAGGATAAGGGATTCTCCATCAGATCTGATTTGCCCTGCTTGGGCTATTTTAGGATTCTTGGGGTACAATGGAGGCAACAGGCACTTTACGAAAGCCCTCTAAACTCTGAGTTTACACAAGCGTTCAAGTCAGATGCTTGCAAAAATTCTGAACCTGTAACTTTGAGAATGGACAGTAGCATTTAATACCAAGTCAAGATGTCCTGTGCTTTGGGATCTTGTGTCCATCATCATCCATGCACAAGCAGACTTGGGGTAACACAGTGGTGAGCCAACAATATTTGGCAGGGTGGGTGATCCAAAACAGTCCCATTATAATTCAGTGACCCAGAATGGTGAGTAACTGAGACAAGGAGAAAAAAAATACAGGAGGGGGAATGAAAAAGAAGATGGGAGGAGACATAGATATAAAAAGTATAGCAAGATCCATCACTTTGTCTATATAGGTCATTTTTTGGTTCATACTGAGAAGCTATTTTAAAAGGTCCCCAGGAATAGAACTGAAAGCTGCCCATAGACAACAATGGAAAAATCAACATTTTAGTGTTGTGGCACAAATATGTCTGCTATGTACATATCAAACCCCCAAAGTGGAAAAGGGGGCTACCAATATAGGTCAAAGAGTGATGAACACTGGGCACAGGATGGTAACTAAAACAGGCAGTGATGGGGTGGGGGGAATGAAATGGAGTAGATGGGACCATGAAAAAACACCACACTACAACATTTGGCTGCAGAAATCCATTTCTGTATGCCATGCAATCATCAACTTAACCCTTTTGTAGAATTTGCAGAGAATCTGGGTTTGTAGTGAAGGAAATTTGATGTGACCCCCTTGCATGCACAACTTGGCTGGCTGAATAACACAATGGGACTTTGCCTATGTGGCAACAGCTGATGCGATTCCTGATGTTATTTCTTGTAGTCACTGTTGCTTATTCTCTAGCCCACTCCTGGGTGCAAGTCACACACAAGCATCTCACTGAACCCAGAAAAACACGGTCAGAGAACAGGCAATAGCACATGTGAGCAGGTCCAGTTGGATCACAGTAGCAAGGAGATGGAGCAATCATCACGGAAAGAAAAGTAATAGCAAGTTGGTGGGGGGGGGGGGGTGACAGCAAGAGGAAGATGGAATGGGTAGCAGTGTCTGCAAGGAAGAAAAGCCACCATGATAGGATGCTATCCTCAAATAGGAGCATCTTTCTACTGCAGAAAATTTGAACTGTTTGTTCTTGAATCCAATGTTAACAACTGAGTGTTGTATGGGCACCTGTCAAATATTTAACCTGGCAGCGGGACAAGATTTTGGTATAGCAGCCAAACAAGCCATGTGATGTGCATGAAAGGAATATCCTGTGAAAAGGCACGTCTGATTCGAGTTGCACAAAGTGACAAATATGAATGAAATCTCCATGGCATGGAAGGAAAGAAGGGTTAACTATTTGATCGTGTTGATCTAAGGAGAACTTCCCTCCTGGATCAAAGGGCAGTTTGTCCTAAGAATGCTTGGGCCAGCTCAGTTTTAACAGTGCTTGCTGCTGAGTGTTTGTTTCTCTGTTGCTGAGGCATGCCAAAAACGAAGCAGCACTTGGAACCTGTTCCATGCTCAAGGTGGTTTAGGACTCTGAGCAGAGCCTTTTGGCAGAGACTTGTCTCCTGTAGACCTTATCTGTTTGTTCTTGTTTTTTGTGTTCTTGCTCTTCATCTGTGATCTTTGCTGGCTTTGGAGTCAGCTGCAGCACTGGGAATGAGCCAAGGGGTTGGCCAAATCATATGGTAAAAG